GCATGGCAGTGGGCTGTCTGTACACTAGGTCCCAGGAGCTGGCGGGGCGTGGGGTGGGGAGAAGAAAAGAGAGCAGGAGGTGCATGCAGCAAAGTTCACCTGGTCGGTGCAGGTGTAGTCAGCGTCCCTCTCCCCAGTCTCGCCCCATGCAGAGTGCTGCAAGGGCAAACCCCCACCTGCTCCAACCTGGGGCAGCCCATACCATGCTCTTGCCTGCCTCCCCAACAGCTCCAGCCTGGGCCACAGTGCACCAGCTTCCTGGCAGGGCTGCTCCTGGTATAACTGCAGCGGCTTGTGTACTGTTCAGCTCCCCTGCCTCCAATGGCTCCTTCTCTTCCTCCTACTCATGCTGTGCCACCTTCTACCCACTCAGCTGCCCACAGATGGCTGCCCATCATGCGTCTTGGGGGCTGCTCAGCAGCTGGGAGCTGGAGCCCCATGCACTAAAGGGAGGAGCTGCCTGGCTGCAGCTTCCTCCAGCCTGGCTGGGCATGTGGTGTCTGGCAAGCGACCCCCGCAGCCATCACTTTCACACACCACCTGCTGCCCTAAGCAACACAGCAGGGCCAGGAGGAGGAGCCAAGCAGTACCCAGGCAGTTGCAGATGCACAAGGAGCAACCCTGCTGGGAAGCTGTGCATGCTGGCCAGAGCAATCAGGGACGTTGACAGGAGAGTGGCACAGGCTACCCCAGACATAAGCGGGAAGGGCTCAGCCGCATACAGACCACCATGGGGGCAACCACGAACTGGATCCAATCAATTGGCAGGCCAGATCTAGCCTGTGGGCCGTATTTTGCCCATCCCTAATCTAGCTGCACAGACCTAATCCAGCAGGCAGTGGGGTAAGGAGATAAACATATCTGTGTGCAATACTAGTGAGTTTATTATTGGAACAATCCAGTCCATGGAGCCACATCTGACCCACAGGTTCAGAAATTTGACAGTTGGGGAGTAGCAGCCACCAAGTTACCAAAATCCAGACCATGGGACCTGGTCACCCCTGCTACAGCTCAAGTTATGGACTTGTTTATTTGTACCAAGAGTGGCCAAGGCTTAATTTAAGGTGAATCCAGTATTTCCATAACCAAGCTATGCCAGTGGTCCACTAGAAACACTTACAAACTTTCAACTTATTTCTAGCCTAAATTTACCTAGCTTTAAACTTCCTATTGCTGAACCTTATTATGACTCTGCAAAATATAAAGAGCTGTCTATCAAAGTTCTTCCCCATGCTAGCATTTTAACTCACCACAGAAGTTAACCTTTTGACTTTATAAAGTAAATAAACGTAAAAATGCCCACAATTTTTTTGGTACACACGTTTTCCAAGCCTTCACTCTCGTAGAAGAACTGGAAAGACTTCACAGTCTTTCATAGTATACCAGAACAGGGTATAGCATTCCAATAATGAACTCACTAATATTGCACACAAATATGCATATCACTACCTGACATTTTTCTACAATAAGGAAATAAAGTTTGCTCTCTTAGCTATAGTCATGCTGGGAACTCAAATTGTTTGGCTGGTAATCTTCCAAGTATCAGATCGGAACCGATAAAAGGAAAGTTAACGTTATCAGCTTTTTTGGCCAGTATAGCTGATAATGTCACCAATAAATGCCCCATGCATGCACACAGTTGCACAGGGCCAGAAATGTAGCCGGGCAGCTTGGAGAACAGCACCCTGCCCCTGCAGGTAAGTCTGTGGAAGAAAGGGGGCATTGGGGGGTGGGGGGGAAGGCAGATCAAGGCCCCCACAGTGGGGGAGGGAGTCGGTCAGGGACTGGCGTTGCCCAGCCAGGGTGGGGAAAGGGATCCCAGGAACCGGGAGTGTGAGCGCCACAGGCAGCCCATCCATGG